TTCTCAGGGAAGGCCTTGATTATTTCAGCAAGACAATGCCAAATCACATTCTGCATGTATTACAACAGCATTGCTCCACATTAAGAGAGTCCGGTCGCTAAACTGGCCTGTCTGCAGTCCAGACCTGTCACCACTGAAAACATCTGGTGCATTATGAAATGAAAAATACAACAAAGGAGGCCCCAAACTGTTGAGGAGGTGAAATCCTATATCAAACCAGAATGGGAAAACATTTCACAGCAGTTTGTCTCCTCAGTTCCCAAACACTTACACAGTGTTGTTAAAAGAAGAGGTGATAAAACATAGTGGTAAACATGCCCCTGTCCCAACTTTTCTGGAACATGTTGTTGGCATTAAATTCAAAATGGGCAAATATTTTTTCAAAAACCAATCAAATTTGTCAGTTTCAACATTTGATTTGTTGTCTCTGTACTATTATCAATGAAATATAGAGTTTAAATTATTTGCATATCATTGAACTTTGTTTTTGTCCCAACTTTGTTGGAAATGTGGTTGTTTATCAGTGCAACACACATTAACATGTTTCTACCAGGTTAATATCACTGGTTGGATTGGGACCACCAATTTTTCCACCTTTTCGTTGATGGGCAGGGTAGAGAAGGGCTAACAAATTGTGCATAGCAACAGGTAGCTAAAGGTAGTCACTGTACACCCATAAAATGCAGTAAAATAGTAGGTGCACCTGATAAAATGGCAAAGAAGTGTAGGTGCACAGTAGGTGTACCTAATAAATAGGTAACTCCGTGCATTCAGACATTTATCTTTTACCTCCTGTAATTCACTAGACACGTTGCCTCGCTGGTCTTTGCAATGCCTCTCTGAGACCATCTGTTGCTGAGACAGAATCTCACTCTCAATCTTCTGCAGTCGTTTCTCCACTCGAAAGGACACCTAAGTCAGGTAATATAACATAGGAGTAAGAGCAACATAAGGACCTTTATCACCATGGCAATTAAATTACAGGACTGGATGACAGTGTTCAGTCCACTATACTTCTGCTAACCAGCATATAAAACCACATGATCTAATCAAGACAGTAAAACGAACCCAAAGATTTCAGTAAACAAGCTCAAGTACCAAGCCAGCCAAATGAATATGGAACTGTCAGGTGATGTGAACTGGTTAGACAATGTGCACAGTTAATTAAAAGGTCAGACTTAAAACGTACAATGATATAAAATGGTATAGTGAGACACACTCTGATTTTTTTCATTTCAATAAGATTTTATATTGGTATACAGAAAAAAGAAGAGTCATTAAATGTCATTTACACTCACCGCTTCCTCCATCGGAGATTCCTGTATTTGCTTTGTTAGGTCTACTAATGTTTTTCTGGTCTCAATATCTGACCTTTCAAAGGTGCAATACATTTTCAAGTTAAATAAGCAAACACATTTGCCTACAGATATATACATAAAGAATGCATTAGGGATGTCCAGATAACTATTAAACTAACACCTTTGGCAGGAAAAAAAAAACAAAAAAGCAAGAAAGGCATTATGACACTTTAAACCACAGAGAATAAGTATGGAAGCTGACCTGTTCCTTTTAAGGATCTCTTGATCTATCTCATGCCCTAACTGGAGCTGGTCACTGCGCAGGTCTCTAAAGGCCTGATGCAGTGAGTGGATCTAGAAATCATGAAGAAAAACAATAAAGTGCATTTAGTCTGCTGTATTGTGAGATTATGTTACATATAAAATTATGCGTAAGACCATTCTGCCATGCTGACTAAAGAAAAACTGCTCACCAACAAGTAATCAAAGCTTATTTTCAAGTTTTTGTGCAAACACACCACTTAGCAAATGCTGGCATCTTTTTTTCCTATATATATATAATTAATTACAAAAATATTAATATCTATAGTTATTATATATGGTTAGCTTTAAAAAAAATTATACCAGCCTTAGTATGGTTATCTTTCAAAAATGTTATTACGGAAAGCCACTAAGAGGTTATAAATAAAGTCAAAGTGTTCAGTAAATGAGGTATTTAGCTACAACTAAACTGTGCTATCAAAACAAATCTAAAAGAAGAACACAAGCTCTGTGCTTATATACACACTGGTTGTTTTTTAGTTCCATATTACAATTTACTAAATAGGGTACTCCAGAACCGGGAGTGGCATAATCTAACCTGTTCCTCTGTCTGGCAAGGGTCTCTGAAGCGCACTGTAGATCTCCTGTTGCTCATTTCCAGACTCCTATAATCTTTCAAAGGAGATGTGGGATTGTGAGGCCGCCCACCTAGACAGAAGAGATGCAAGCTTGCTAACCTTTTAGCCACATAAAAACTCTGCTAAGTAAAGTTTGGGCACTCCTGGGCACACATGCTTTGCTGATTTCCTAAGTGAAATTAAGTAGGAATTCTTTACAGAGAATTCTGCACATTTTAATGCACAGTTACTTTTTATTTTCTGAATTTAACATAGTGGGATAAGAATAAAACAAAGTGTGGCACATGGAAAGGTTATGGTACATTTTATAATTTACGTTGTCTTTTCCAAAATGTTAAAATGGACAAATAAACAGAAACTGTGGACTAAATTTACAGAAAAATGTAATATTTAAGTTTGTTCCCTGCAGAGGATGTGTTGACATTTTTTCACTTAAAAAAAATCAATACGTCATTTAACCAGAGGTGTTCAAAATTTTGCATACAACTATACAATCCAATTAGTAGATCTGATTAACGCATTTGTTGTTACAAACTACTAAATTCTGAAGCTCCTCAATTTAGCTGAAGGTATTAAGAAATAGCACAGATCTAAACCAATATGAGATTAGGGTCACTATGTGAAGCTAGATTAGAATTTATTCAGTACCAAAATTGTTGCCATCTTCCAGGCTACTGTGCAATGTAGAGAATGAGGCGCTACATCCTCTTGTGGGCCGCTTGAGACGCTGGCTCTGAAGCTGGTGAATAGACTCCTCCAAGCTTTCCTGTAGCTACACGAAAGAGGGCACCGTCACATAAGGGCAGATTTATCTGAAATCAGAAACTGTAAAACAATAAAACCATGCTACTCAGGTTCTATGTCAGACTGTTAATACTCACTGTTGCTATGGCATCAGCGTGGTCGTCTGTATGTTCTCTGTACTGGCCCAGCATCTGATCCACTTTATTTAGGTTTCTGCTTGTATCCTGCGTTAACGAAATAAACAATTTAGATTGAATCTTTCTTTACTACGAATGTGCTGATAACTCCCTGTTCTGCAGCTACCATTTCCTACAATTATCATTCCTAGTTGAAGTCCACATTTCGCAAAGACTTACCTGTAACGTGTCTGCCAGTGCGTCAATTTTCTCTGCTATGCCTACGCTGTCCATGGCTATATCTCGACTAGTTTTACGCCTTAGTGCGTCTCGCCCTCGAGAGCAATGCTCTCTCGACCTGCTGTAGATCTCAGATTCACTGGATGACTCCATAGTCGATACAGGCTTGGGAAAGACAAAAGCTGTTGAGTAACGTAGCTCTATCTAAACAAGCATCAAGGCAGTTACAAATACTGTCTATGACTGTACTTAGGTTAGTTAGTTACTAATCTAGTCAAGTATCTTAACTATGGCTCACTGGCAACTAGCTATCTAGCTAACTTAGTACTGGATAAAAGCATTTTTCCATCTTGTTTCTGTAACTGTGTGCTCCGTTGTGCCCTTGTACTGGCCATGGCTATTAAAACATATTGCTGACTGCCGTTAGTAACGCTAATAGAATAACGTTAGCTAACTAACTAACTAGCTAAGCCAACAAGCTGGGTAAGTTCACTGCCGAGATAACCTAGTTAGCTATGCTAGTTAACGTTAGCTAACTAAACAGACAACTACTTGGCTACATAAAATTCTTATCATACATAGCTAGCTAGTTAGCTAACTAGCTAAGTTGTTTGTGGTCGACACAATTAACGTAAAATACTTCTACAGAGCATACAACAGAAATTTAGCTATTCTGGCTAGCATGTCTACAAGGCAACGCTAGCTGACGTTAACCCACGCACACTTACGCTAACTAGGTTCGCTAATGTCTGCTAACCGGACTTAGCTGGTCAAGGTTAGCAACCCAGATCTTCTTCTTTTTTGTTCAGAATGCCCAATCTAAAAATACCCATCTAGGAATTCCACAAAGCGTCGATTATCGTGATTTCCCGTGCTACTTCTGCTATGGCAACTTGAACTGCCCGCCTCATAACAGGAAAGTGACAGAAACGCAATGGCACATGGAAGTTGTAGTTTTTCCTAGGCTACAACGACTGAACAACGGCGCTTCTGCTTCACATAGCCATGCGTTCTCTTTCTAATTTTTTTTTATTTTTAGTTGTTAAAATTAACATAGAAAGGAAATATTTCTCGATTTTATGATACATAAAGAAAACGTATTTGTGTATATTGTCGATTGTCTGTTTTCTGTAGAGTTAGACTAATTAACTTATGCCTCACACTAGTTTTATCTGTTGCTGTAGTTTACCTGGTTTAAGTAATCTTGTGCTTTTAGTTTCTTGGATTAGCAGTGCGCTAGCTCACCACATCAGTGATAAATGGTAGCAAACTAAACTAAACTATGTAACTCTTTGGCAAGAGTATTTGAAAGATCCTGGGCATTCTGTTGTTTTATCACAACGTATTACAGCTTCTAACTGCTACGGTCACCGAGGCCCCTTACCACCCCCCCCGGCTCCCCTCCCCTCATCCCCGCATGCCCCCCCAACAAAAGTGCGACTGCACTGTATCCCCAAGACGGTCTGTGCGTCTCGCAGCACGGTCCACAGCTGCTACGCAGGATTCCCGTGCTGAGAACACTCGTTACAAGAAGAACATTTACAGCCGTCAAAGGCTTTGTAGAGTAATGATAGCTGTCAGACGTCATCACAATTGCGGTCGGTGAGGAATAATCGAAGAATAATCTTTTCGTCGGTGGATGTATGTTTTACGTTTTAGTTTTTTGAGAGTTTTTTTTTTCATCAAAAAAACAACGAACCAAAATGCAGGTTTTCGCAGCTGCGCTAATTACCCTCATCTGGTCAACACGAACTGTCACTGGGGACGTGAATAGGTGCCCTTATGGGTGTGAATGTTCGGAGTGGAGAAGCTCCTCTGTTTCGTGTAGTGAAATAGATACTATGCCTACGTTTCCTGCCAATACGGAGACACTGTGAGTATGCTGTTTAACAAAGTTTCAGAGTTTTTAGGGTGTGACTGATATCCCCACACTCTCGTGTGCTATATAATCTACAGATCACTGTTTATAATTAGAATTAAAATGTAATTTCAATAAATAATCTTAAGTATAATTTAGTCTAATCAACTAACACTGGGCTCTAAACCTCCAAATGTCTTACATGTTCTGGAATGTTGGTTAAGCAGACAGCAAACTGTCCACTTGTGCACACAATCATGAAAAAAATGTACATTATTGTTAATTTTGTTTATACATTTATGTCTATTGATTTAGAGCAAAACAAAGAATGTAGCATACCTAATATTTGACAGCTTAAATGTTCTAACAACAATGTTGTGTCTAACATCTTAGCAAACACTTTTATATATTTATTTATTTGTTTGTTTGTTCATTTATCTTTGCATGTTCTAATTATTTATAGCTATAAGGAACAGGTACGCAACAGGAGAATGTGTTCCTTGGTATGCTGACTGTTTGGACTTGCTAGTGGCATTAACGTTTCTCATAAGTAGAGTTCTCCCCAATAAAGTCATCTTAAAATTGAAATTGATCTTTTTTTTACCTTGTTAGTTCATGTCTTCAGTCAAAATAAGCATGATTCATCATACCATACCATTTAAATACAGAATTCTTTTTTATCATTAAAGTTTGAGTGCCTTTTGCTTGTCTCTAAAACATCTAATTTTCGATAGTCTCACCGTGCACCAGCATGTGGAAAAAACAGTATGAACCAGTAATATCATGTTTAACCTGTCCCCATCTTCCAACCCCACCGATCATCAAGAAAAACATGCAGCTATCTTAGACAACTTCCCTAATGCCAATGTTCAACTCAGATATACATCACAGCACAGAAGGAGAATGTGTTCTGATTTTCAATTCATGTTGACTTTAAGAATCTGCTCTTAAGTATTCAAAGAGCGTAAGGTGAGTTGGTGCTGTTGTCGCTAAAGAAAGTGAGAGGTGCCATGTTGCTGCTGTGAGGCAAGATGCAGCATAGGCTACAGGATGTACTGTATTATCTGTAATGTTGCTGTGTTGCCTAAGAAGCAAAAAGTTCTCTGACAAAAGAAATATACAGGAACCTTTCAAGCTAATACATGTGAAATTCAAAAGAGCACAGATCCATGTTCATGGTGTTTATTACATGTGTGTAAAAAAGGTAAGAGGCCTTTTTGAGAGGACTCAGGTCCAGTATTTCAATACAAGCCCAGAATTCAAGAATAGTAGCTCAGACACATTTCCTCCACTCTGCTTTCCACCTTGTCTGTCAGAGGCAGTACTAACCTCTCAGCTGTAATTCCAGCTAGTGCCTGATTGCATCTTCTAATCCTCACTTGCCTATGGTTTATTTAGCAGTACAGGAACATTCCTCTGTGGATCGCTTCTTCAGTCGAGGTTACACCAGCTCCCTCTCCTTCAGATTCAGGCACCCATGACATGGAATTAGCCCCAATCAGTGCTCCAATTCAGGCAGTCAGAAAACACCACATTGCAAGCATGGAGAACCACATTCTTTCCTACTCAAAAGTTATATTGTGAAAGGAGACAAATCATAAAGGGGTTCTGTTGGGCAGATGAATATTCCTTTAAATACACTGCTGCCTAAAATAGACCTGAGGATGCATGCCTGTTCAAAATTTTAATCGCTGTATTCACAATGTGACAGAACTGATCAGCGTGATATGCCAGGCATGTTCTTATGGTGGAAATAGGATCACTTTACTTTAGAAACACAAACACCCACATGCAACAAGGTACCTGTCTGACCACCTGAGGTTGAAGAATCCAAGTGTTAAACCCTTAAACCCTAATATTAATTATTAAGCATATTGATATAACAATGTATTTCAGTTTTCAGGATTTTCATCAGCAACAGCAATATTGCTCTACATAGCAATGGCTCTACTCACATCATGTAGTTTCTCTAATGGTGGTTCTCAGAAAGTTGTCTCCGAAGTCAACATAGCTTAATACACTGGCTTGTGACATGGTGAACCAAAAAAGTTGCAATATTTTGCAGATACTGAAATGGTATTGGCAATATATGGACTATAAGTCAGCCTTTATTATTAGTATATTATTCATATTGTATGAGCTAAAACAAATATATCCTGAATTGTTACCAAAAATCAGGTTTTTGGTGCACACAATCACAAATCACATTATCTCCTTTTATAAAATACAGAAAGTCTACAGTCAGATGTTGTCTAACACTGCTTGGTTGACAGCAAAAGTAGTGGTCAGCTTGTGAGTTTTGATAATCAAAATGCACTGGTGTTGTTTTTTTGTTTTTGGTGAAGTTTTGTGAGGTCATACGATTCATACACTTAAGCCCTACAACATCAGTTTACAGGATAAACAGCCTTTAGTCTCTGTAGCAGATAACTGCTAACTGTAACACCTTTTTCCATTAATAAATTAATTTTGTAAAAACATTTTAGTTTTTTAGTTACCAGCGCTGTTTGTGCGTGTTCTACAGTGCGGATGTGGTAGAGTTTCTGCAGTCACCACTGAGCAGGTATGGATGGTGGAAAGAAAAGCACAAGTACACTTGAAAGGTCTGCTTAGCATGACTCCAAGTTCTCTCCAGTCACAACTGAGGCATGACTCATGCCTTCACGTACACTATTTACTTTTTGCAACACTGAAGTGTTTATGCAAAGTAGGCTGTGGCCCCGACGGGCTCAGATGGTAGCAGACTTCCAAAATCCTTGATGACTTCTTGACATGACTTTGATGCACATGGCATCACATTCAGACATAGTAAGGCACAACAAAGCAAGGCAAGTTTATTTATATAGCACTTTTCATGCACTGTGGTCAAAGCTTTACAAATATAATTAAAATTTAAAAAGATGTAGGAGAATAGAAATAGAAAACATAATTAAAATGTGTAAAACAATGTATTTAAAATAGAAGAAATTAAATATTCAAATAAAAATTAAATCAAAAATTAAATTAGGATAGTAAAGTGCAGTACAGGAGAGAAGTGTGGTAGCATTTTAAACTGAGCCAAAGGCCTGCTCAAATAGGAACATTTTCAGCCCTGACCTAAAAGTGTTTAATATCGAGTCTCTTCTAATGCTCTCTGTCAACTAGTTTCATTTAAGAGCAGCATAGTAGCTAAACGCTGCTTCTCCATGTTTAGTCCTGGATGAGTTTCTCCAGGTCTGGTTTAGTCAAAAAATCTCAAATCTTGATGTTCTTAAGGTGATAAAATGCTGATTTAGTAACTACTTTGATATGACTGCTTAAACTAAGATCAGAGTCCATTAGTAGACCAAGGTTACATTCTAGCTCTTTAGATTTTAGGGCTCTCAAATCCAAATAGGCATCTGAATAAAATAATTTTTGTTTTACCTTTATTCAACTGCAAAAAGTTTTGTCCCATCCAGTTATTGATGTGCTCAAGGCCTTAGCAAAATGATTCATGGGGATCACAGTTATTCAGGGCGAGGTGTCATCGGCATAGCTGTGGTAAGATATCCTATAGTCTTTTAGGATTTGGCCAAGAGAAAGTATGTATACAATAAATAAGAGCAGCCCAAGAATTGAACTGTGGGGGACACCACAGGTCACTGGCATGCTCTCAGACACATAATTTTCTATTTCAACAATGTAGTTCTTTCCTTGCAGTTCTGAAGTCTGTCTATACTAATTTTATGATCACTGGTGTCACACGAGTGAGGTATTTACTCTCTGAAGTATGTCCACTGATATTGAGTGAAACACATTTTTTTAAAAAGTTGGTTGGTAACATGTCGAAACTGCAAGTGGATGATCTGAGATGACTCACTATATTAATTAAAATTTTATCATTAATAGCACTGAACTGGGACATTTTAACTATGACATTTTGCCTGGTGATAGGAAGAACACCGGCCCATTTGTGGATATAGATGTACTAATAACTTGTTTGATATTATGGATTTAAGCGTTAAAAAAGTACGCAAACACATTACATTTCTCAGTTGATACTAATTCAGGGGCCATATATGTAGGTGACCGTTAGTCCCACTAGTGCCCACTTCCCTGTTTCTACGCTCATTGTCCATTTGATCAGCTCCACTTACTATATAGGTGCACTTTGTAGTTCTACAGTTACAGACTTTAGTCCATCTGTTTCTCTGCATACTTTGTTAGCCCCTTTTTACCAACTTCTTCAGTGGTCAGGACCCCCATGGACCCTCACAGAGCAGGTACTATTTGGGTGGTGGATCATTCTCAGCACTGCAGTAACACTAACGTGGTGGTGGTGTGTTAATGTGTGTTGTGCTGGTACGAGTGGATCAGACACAGCAGCACTGCTGGAGTTTTTAAACACTGTGTCCACTCACTGTCCACTGTATTAGACACTGCTACCTTGTTAGTCCACCTTGTGGATGTAAAGTCAGAGACGATAGCTCATCTGCTGCTGCACAGTTTGTGTTGGTCATCCTCTAGTCCTTAATCAGTGATCACAGGACGCTGCCCACAGGACGCTGTTGGCTGGATATTTTTGGTTGGTGGACTATTCTCAGTCCAGCAGTGACACTGAGATATTTAAAAACTCCAGCAGCACTGCTGTGTCTGATCCACTCAGACCAGCACAACACCGACTAACGCACCACCACCACCACGTCAGTGTTACTGCAGTGCTGAGAATGATCCACCATATAGTACCTCATTTCCAAATAAGTTGGGACACCACGCAGAATGTAAATAGAAATAGAATGCAATGATATGCAAATCGTGTAAACCATATTTTTAAAGTAAAATAGTACAAAGACAACATATCAAATGTTGAAACTAAGAAATTTGATTGTTTTTTGAAAAAATATTTCCCCATTTTGAATTTGATGCCAACAGCACTTTCCAAAAAAGTTGGGACGGGGGCCTGTTTACCACTGTGTTTCATCACCTATTCTTTTAACAACACTCTGTAAGTGTTTGGGAACTGAGGAGACACTGCTGTAGTTTAGAAAGTGAAA